TCTGTCGGACTTCTTGGTAACCGTCATTTTGCGAGGAGTAACGGAAGTCCAAGGAAGAGTGTTTTTCCTTCAACTTCCTGCTGTGTGAACAGCGCCAAAAGCCAAATTAACTATTTCTACTTCAGCCATGCTAATTCATAGAATCATAGAATACTAGGACTGGAAGGGACCTCGAGAGGTTGAGTCCAGTCCCCTGCCCTCATGGCAGGACCCAGTATTGTCTTGACCAACCCTGATAGAAATTTATCTAACCTACTCTTAAATATCTCCAGAGATGGAGTTTCCACAAATACTCTAGGCAGTTTATTCCAGTGTTTAACCACCCTGACAGTTAGGAACCTAAACCTTCCTTGCTGCAGTTTAAGCCCGTTGCTTCTTGTTCTATCCTCAGAGGCAGGAAGAACAAGTTTTCTCTCTCCTCCTTGTGACACTCTTTTAGATACCTGAAAACCACTATCATGCCCCCTCTCAATCTTCTCTTTTCCAAACTAAAGAAGCCCAATTCTTTCAGTCTTTCTTCATAGGTCATGTTCTTTAGACCTTTAATCATTCTTGTTGCTTTTCTCTGGACCTTATTCAATTTCTTCACATCTTCCTTGAAATGTGGCGCCCAGAACTGGACACAGTACTCCAACTGAGACCTAATCATTGCAGAGTAGAGCGGAAGAATGACTTCTCATATCTTGCTCAAAACACACCTGTTAATGCATCCTAGAATCATGTTGGCTTTTTTTGCAACAGCGTCACACTGTTGACTCATATTTAGCTTGTGGTCCACTATAATCCCTAGATCCTTTTCTGCCGTACTCCTTCCTAGACAGTCGCATCCCATTCTGCATCTGTGAAACTGATTGTTTCTTCCTAAGTGGAGCACATTGCATTTGTCTTTACTAAACTTCATCCTGTTTACCTCAGCCCATTTCTCCGATTTGTCCAGATCATTTTGAATTATGATCCTATCCTCCAAAGCAGTTGCAACCCCTTAATAAGCATACTCTGTATGCTGATATCTAAATAGTTGATGAAGATATTGAACAGAACTGGTCCCAAAACAGACCCCTGCAGAACCCCACTTGTTAATCCTTTCCAGCAGGCTTGTGAACCATTAATACCTACTCTCTTTATCCAGCCAGTTATGTGCCCACCTTATAGTAGCCCCATCTAAGTTGTATTTGCCTAATTTATTGATAAGAATATCATGCTAGACCATATCAAATGCCTTACTAAAGTCTAGGTATACCACGTCCACCGCTTCTCCCTTATCCACAAGACTCGTTATCCTATCAAAGAAAGCTATCAGATTGGTTTGACATGATTTGCTCTTTATAAATCCATGCTGGCAGATCCCTATCACCTTATTATCTTCCAAGTGTTTGCAGATGATTTCCTTAAATACTTGCTCCATTATCTTTCCTGGCACAGAAGTTAAAGTGACTGGTCTGTAGTTTCCTGGGTTGTTTTTATTTCCCTTTTTATAGATGGGCACTATATTTGCCTTTTTCCAATCTTCTAGAATCTCTCCTGTCTTCCATGATTTTCCAAAGTTGATAGCTAAAGGCTCAGATACCTCTTCTGTCAGCTCCTTAAGTATTCTAGGATGTATTTCATCAGGCCCTTGTGACTTGCCGATATCCAACTTTTCTAAGTGGTTTTTAACTTGTTCCTTTTTTTATTTTATCTTCTAAACCTCCATCCTTCCCACTGTGTCAGGCATTCCTTCATCAGACTTCTCGGTGAAGACCAAAACAAAGAAGTCATTGAGCATCTCTGCCATTTCCAAGTTTCCTGTTACTGTTTCCCCCTCCTCACTGATCAGTGGGCCTACCCTATCCTTGGTCTTCCTCTTTCTTCTAATATATTTATTGTGTAGCTGAAGCTGAGTAGCTTAATTCGACTTTAGCTCTATTGTGTATAAATACCCTCAGGGATTTGGGAATAAAAAGAGTCTTTCTGGGATCCCTTCTTACCCGGAAGGGAAGTCTGTCACCATATCTACTTTCCATCACAGTGCAGGATTGGTAAAAGGCAGTCTGTAATTCCTGGTAATAAGCCTGTCTTGTCACAACAGGGTTTGTTCGTCCTGCCATTCTGTTACTGAAGGGAACCTTCCAGCTTTGTATCAGGCTTTTAGAGAATCTGCTTCTAACAAAAATCAAATGCCTAAATATTGAGGCCATGCTGATAAATGCTCAACCGTGCTGGATTGGAAACATCATTAGGATGCCTGAATATTGACTCCTCAGAAAAATTTTCAATGGAGAATTGTTATATCAGAATCAAGGCCCTAGAAAATACTACAAGGAACAGCATACTTTTTGGTACAATGAATGATCATTACATAGATCAGTGTGGCAGCATACTGCACTGAAAGCCTTAGAAAAGGACAGAAATATAATCGATTTTGTTAGCTGCCAAGGAAAAGTGTCCTACTATTGCTATAGCTACCAAGACTCTCGCCGGTGGGTGGGTTTTTTTTCGTTTTTTTTCCTGTCTGATATGCTGACAAGCATAAGGATCACACTTTGGACTCCAGAGTCACACCAAAATCCACAAAAAGAGAGAACACGAAACATCATCTTTGAACTGATGGACTACACACATGTTGATACAGAGCTTAGGAAATAGTGAAAGAGTTACAGTTGTTCCAAGGAAAGAGACCACACACCGCTTGCCCACAAAAAAAAAGCACACAAAAATGTGAGACATGTAAAAACCTTGTATATTGAGAATATGATACCTTTTTGCCCCATTCATTGAAAGCAGTAGGCCATTTACTTCCACTTTGCTATGGATATATCTTTTATATTGTTGCTATTACTATCTATTTTCACTATCGAAACATGGAGTGTGTTAGACACTCAGGAGCAGCCCTAGACAAGCTGCTGGCAACTGGCGCCCTAGGTGACACGCGCGATCGGTGCACGATCAGCGCCCCTGCCTCCAAAGCCCTCAATGGCTGTTTTTCTTGGCATCCTAGGCGACGGCCTAGGTGGCCTGTATTGACGGGCCGCCACTGTAGACACTAGCGTCTGTACAGTGTGTAGCTTTTTTTTTTAAATGTACTTGATCATTTCCGTAAGACATCAGCAAAGTATTGTGCAGTGTGCTTCTGAGTCTAGGAGAGTTTTAACTTGTTCCCAGTTCACTGATTACAGTCTATACTTTTAAATGTATCTCATGTTCTCTTCACCGCCCGGTCACTTTTAAACGCATTCCATATGGTTTCTCCCCATTTCCGAATTTCAACATATTAAGGTTTCCAAGACTCCAATAAGGAATAACTTGATGATTTTTGGTCCAATATGAGGATTAATTAAGCAGACACTCTTTATGCTTTTGTCATATGTTAATTAGTTTTTACTTAATACTTATAAATTTCAGATTCAAAGATAGAAAACTGTTTTTGATAGGGGTTTTTTTCAATGAAATATGTGAAATCCTTTTAGTAAGAGTCTTTATAAAGTTCATATAAAGTTCCTTTTACTAAGAGGATTTTGTGTGTGTGTGTGTGTGTGTGAGTGTGTGTGTGTATGAGTGTGTGTGTGTGTATGTAATGAATCCTCTTACTAAAAGAACTTTACATGCATAACCGGGTAAACTGCAAGAAAGAACTATGTAACTGTCATTTTAAAGGTCTTGGTACTACAGCATGTATACAGTGATATTGTATAAGATATAAATCATTCAAGAAAGAGACCTACTTATCCATCAGTAGGTGTTCGCCTTAGAGTGAGACTACCTGTACTTATGTATAAAGATACCTCCACTGTCATTAAAAGCTTGCTAGTTTGTAGGAAAGAAATTTCCTTTAAAATGAATGCAACAAAATTCTACGTATTCAGAAAGTAATACTGATGAAGGATCTGACTGTGAAACAGCACACGAATGTTAAAGGGCTGACATTAACTTTGGAAAATCTGCTATTGTGATTTTATGTCCAGCCTCAGGGACTGATTTGTGAGTGTCAGCAATATGTGGTGCACATCCGAAGGCAGATGGAAGAATATGGTTCAGAAATTCATTTTGCCTTTTAGAGATGGACATAGCACATACTTACGTTTATTGAACCCATCCAGTTTTGTATGATCAGTGAGGGAATTAATGGAGGAAGTCAATACTTCAGAATTTTTTAAATAAAAATACCAACCTGCTTTGTCAGTATTTTCTTCCTGTTATGGAATATTTTGGGTTTGCTGTTTATATTTTGGTTTGACTAAGAACTTTCTCCCTTACAAGTCTGCTTCACATTCCAAGTTTGCCCTCCTGTTGATATAATGTATTATATTGGCAATTATTGTGATGTGACATATTCTTATCATATCAAACGGGGGACAAAAATTTCAAGGATAATAAAGACATTATGAATACATTATTATAAGGGATCATGGGTACACTGAGATATTACATAATAATTTATTTTAAATTAATTTGATTGTTTTCATAATATGTTCTTTATTGGCACCTTACACAAATACAAATATGTCCTAGAAGCCAAAGTTTTATCTTTAGGTGTGAAACGTACTAAGGGTTTCCATAGATGTTGGTTTATAGAATTCATTTATATTTCAATAAAAGAAAAATATTTGATCTTTTTTCTATAATTTTCCTTAAATCATTTATATAGCCAAGTACATGCATTAATAAGATAAAATCTCTTTGAACCTTAGTTTCTCTTTAATCTTTAAATTAGATTTAAAAGAATGAAATATTAGAATTTCTATCAATGAATTTAAATAGAAATAGATTCATTTGAACTAATGGCTGAATAAAATGGTGACTTTCCGACATTTAATATGATGATTTGGTATATTATATTTCACATTCTCGCTTATTTTATGAAGGACAGAATTTTTATGAGCAGTAATTCAGGAAAATTAGAGCCTGCTTAGTGGAATCCTTGTCTTTACTTCAAGAATACTTCTACTGACATTGCTTTTTCTTGAACTTTTTTCTTAAAATCAGAATTGTTTTCTAATTTTTTATCGTATTTTTTTTCTAAGTTTCAGCTCAGAGTCTCAAGAGTAACCTTGATTCAATGGAACTACAGATCCAGCGCCTTGAAAATGACATCAAGATGTTTCCCAAAACAGAAGACACACATGATAAATTTGTGGAAAAGATGACCATATCCTTTTTGCACATTTGGGTTCTGCTCTGTCTGTCTTGTTAAATATTTACAATATTTGAAATTAACAGTTAAAAGGGTCTGCTTCGTGTTTATTGTTTTGCACAGTGAAGAACATATCAGAAGTTTTGAGTGTTAAAAGCAGAAAGCCATTAGCAGAAATGAAATTTATGTTTTGCCCCTTTTCTATGGCTGTCTTGTAGAAGTTGTAATCGGACTTGAGAAGAAAGATGCCACCACTCTCAAGGCACCCTACTGAAGGAGCTGGATATTCAGGATCATGTCATAAACTGGAGATTCAAGAACATACTTTTAGATGTTTGTCGCATCTAACTTTAGGTTGAAATAATATGGAAAGAAAGGTAGAAAAATGGAAATTTAGTGACAAGTTTTGGCTGAAAATTTTGGCTCATCAAGAAAACTTTAAAGTCATAGAAATTGTTGATAGTCATTGTATCTCTTCATTTTCTGAAAGTTACAAGTTTAGGAGAAAAGTGCCATCTCTGGTAAGTGTGATTAAATAGACTGAACTGAAGATTAACTGATCATTTTATCTCTCTAGGGAATAAATACTGGCGATTTGTTATCTAAGAGTAACTATACTTTACAGCTGTATGTCTGTCACTGACTCATATGTAACCTTTGGTTGTGTCTCCCCCTCCCCCAGTCTCTGGGCAAAGTTTTCATATGTTAAGTTCAATTTTTGCTTAAGAGTAAATAAACAGAAGTGCAAGATCCTGACTATCAAAGATATGTTATATTTCCATTGTACTTAAAGGAAATTTTCAGTCAATAATTTAATATAAAAATCCATATATTTCTGTGCTTTTGTCAGTTCCTGTCTCATGAGGTTTGCATGTGTATTTATTTACATAAGCTGAGGGGCTGTTAGAATGTAGCATGAGTATTTAAATTCCTCTGTGGGAGAGACTGTACACATAGTTATGTTTGCCAGTGGGATAATTTTAATGCATTTGCAATAAGTTGAGCATGGTCATTGGGCTAATTTAAAGGGGAGCAATTCTGCTCAGTGGCATACTAATTTATAGCAGTGATAGAGAAGTGTTGTTGTGCAACCATGCTGGAAGAAGGACAGGAAACACTGGATTTAATTAGTCCACAACATTATCTTAAAATATCTGTGAATAACCAATAAATTCTGTACAATTCAAGTAATTATATAGCATTTCAATATATTAACAAAGGTCTTCTGTCAGCCCTCTGTCCTACCCATCTTAGTCACCAGCTAACCTACTGCTGGGACCTCACCATCCTTCACTCAAAAGAGGGTTTCTGTGAGAAGGGGAGTTGGGCTTCCCACCATACCAGTCATAGAAGCCCCGAACTTCTTTCCTCCCAGTCCCTGATTTCCTCTCCTTCAAAGAATATCTCATTGTAAATTCTTTAGCACTCCTTTTTATCTGATAGCTTCATCTGTTCCCTGTAGAGTATTTGCACTAGATATCAGCCCCACGTTTTCATAAAGTATTTCAGTATCATAGCCTAACTACTGTTTCAAGTTTACCTTCCTCCCCAACCCAGTGCGAGAGCAAGGTAAGTGTGTGTCTCACTCTCGCTCACTTTTCCTTTGCCAATCTTGTGGTGAGGAGTAGCTATTACAACGGTGTGGGAGGGGAGAGGAGGAATTGGTGCTGCTCCACTTGGTCCAAGCAAAAGACATTCTGTGCCCTGGCTTGGAATTTCACTCCTCTTTTCCGGTCACCTGCAGGAGGGAGCTGGTCTGCAGCTACAGCAGAAAGTTATTCCCTGGATCAATAGTTCTTTCCTACAAGACCAGTTACAGCCCACCCTGCAATGTGGTTAGCCTGGGTAGGTCTGGAGAAAGATATGGGTCATAAGCTCTCAATGATGATCTTTCCTACATGGACCTTTTTGTTAGCAGTTTCTGGCTAGACAAGTGGCAAGTAGTTCAGGACTAGTTTATATTCACAAACTTTTCTCTTGTTTTATACATTTCCTTCCATTCCATTTGCTTTCAGGTTTCATAAGAAACAGTCCTGAAAGTGGTCAGAATAGTCCATGTGGTCCCAGAATATTTTGCATAATAGTTCTAAAGCTCCATTCTCCCACTTGATCTCTTCTCCCAGGTTCCCTTCCACAATTTGCTCATGCAGTCTGTCTGTTTTGTGAACAAAGCTGCTTCTTCTAGTAGCGTCCCCGTGGGTGTTCCACACTGGGTGCTGGTGCGTCCCGATGCCGGTAACTGGAGATTTTTCTAGCAGTGTCCACCATACACACACTGTGGTGCCCCCTTGTGCTGTCAGTGTCTGTTAGGCGTGTGCATGGCACGGCCCCTCACTTTCTTCTCTACCGTCCTCAGCAGAAGATGGAGTTTCTCTCCTTTCCTCTGTTTCTACAGAAAAACAAAAAACGGTGATTTCCCCTTAGTTTCCTCACATTTCCAAGTTTTGAGACCTCCAACCTGATCCTATAACAAAAAAAAAAAAAATCTGTCATCAGCCCACCACTTTGCACTGCGCCTGATGCTGGGATTTCCCGGCTTCAAGAGGTGTGAATCATGCCGGGATGCTATGCCCGTCTCTGACGAGCACTCAGCATGCTAAAAGTGTCTCGGAGAATCTCAACAGACACAAAAGCGTCCCTGTTGCTCTAAATTGATGGCCAGAGCACACTGCGACCACGCCAACAGGTTAAAAAACTTCCTCTTTGAAAGGTCGCTCCACCTTCTGAGGACACTCCACCTGCTGCAAAGGTATGGACAAAACACGTCCCTCTACTTCTTCTGGCACATCTCTCTCGAAACAGAGATTGTCTTCATCTCAATGCTTACCCTCAGCACCAATGATTTCAAGGGTCAGCACCGTGGACAGTCCTGGCACATCAGGACGGCACTGCCCAAGATGCTGGCACTGCATAAGAGGGCGCACTCAGAGCTCAAACAAAAACAAGTGGCACCATTGGCACCAACTGCATTGCCGAGGCAACATAAGCACCGCTCAGCAACGAAGCCGCCAACTCAGTCAGCGCCTAGGCACCTAAGAGACTCTGTACCAAGATGCCACCTCCTGACCAATTGGTGCCGCTTTCACCAACGTCCGTGGTAATAACACACGTACCCCAGTACCATCCCAGGAGAATCTACAACATAAGTCTCCTATCAGGAGACATCCTTTACCGGCACTGTTATCTCCAGGTTCCTCCATACAATCAGTGTACTCACACAGATCACCGATCCTACCTCACTCCCCAAAGGAAGCAGGCACTGAGCCATTCAGCCGCTTTTCTTCCCAGCATTCCAGCACAGCACAGAGAGCTCCATCCTGGGACTCTGGGCCTATTACATACGTATATTCACCACCACCCACCACCACCTTGATATGCACATCATTATACATACTAACCCTGCCCCTTACCTGGGCAACGGCAATCATGGGAGTCACGTCCTCATAGGAAGAGCCATCTATACCACACCTTCTACAACATCCAGAAAACCACCATGTTCTCCCCAACCCAGGACATCTGTAACAGCACCCAACTCCCCAGTCCAGACTGAGATGGAGGACTCTTTGTCTAAGGGCAAAGACAGGTCCCCTGTGCATAATTCCTCAACCTCACCAGACAAAATGGTTATATCCACCACCCCGCCACCAACCAATGACTCGAGGAAGTTTCAAGAACTTTTTTAAAGGGTAGCTTTATCAGAAGAGTGAGATTTACAGGAATTTCAGGAAAAACAGTATCGCCTCTTGCAAACCTTACAACCTCCTATCTCCTCCAGGATCGCCCTCCCCATGGACAAAACTATTACGGACCCAGCAGACAACATTTGGCAGACCCCAGAATCCTTCACTCCAATCAACAAAAGAGCGGACCGAAAATATTTTATCACACTAAAGGGAATGGATTTCCTTTTCACTCACCCTCCACCAATGTCCCTGGTAGTCGATTCCATTAGACATAGAGCCAGACAATCCAATGTTAGACCAAAACCACAGGACATGGACCACAAAAAAATGGACATTATGAGTCCATAAAATATACTCCTCAGCCACTCTGCTCCTTAGAGTAGCGAATTATACTGCCATGCTAGTGGATTATGACTATTGTAATTACTCCAAGCTTCAGGAGCTTATGGAATATTTATGTGAACACAAGACGCCTATCCTCAGTATGATGCAGCAGAGCCATACAATTTCTTGCACGGACACAGCTGCATTCATCACAACCTCGGCTATTGTGATGTGGAGAATATCCTGTCTTCAAGCATCAGGGATTCTGAGGGATTTGCAGCAGAAGGTTGAAGACCTACCCTTCGATAAAACCAATATCTTTGCTGTAAAAACCAATGAAGTATTTCACGTGATGAAGGACACCTGCACAGATTTGACACCCTATGCAACCTCATAGCAATAGCATGGGTAATCCCTACCATGACAGTTCACAAATCCTTGTCACATAGCCGCCACAACCTAAGTCGTCAGGTTGTCAAGGATCCACATGAGATGCCTTCAGTCTTGGCTCGCCACACATTACACCCTGTCCAGAGACCCGCTCTCCAAGTGAGTTACCATTCCACCATGAGTCCTCAATTCCTTACACTGGTGAACGAATCTACACAATGTCTTAACTTGAGTTCCATTCCATCAACTGACACCTACACTGACCATGATGACTGATGCTCATTTAGGAACCCTCACAGCCCAAGGCAAATGGTCCTTCACAGAGCAAACACTCCATATTAACCTTTTAGAACTGTGAGCGGTGCAATATGCATGCCAGCATTTCCTACACCACATAGTGTGCAAGACTATCAACATTATGACAGACAACACCACTTGCATGTATTATATCCATTGGCAAGGTGGTGCACCGTCCCCCCCTCTATGTGCAGAAGCTCTCAAACTATGGAACTTGTGCCTTGCACACCAGATTACCCCTGTTGCCACTTACCTCCCAGTGCTACTAAATGTTATAGCAGCCACCCTCAGACACAAGTTCTGTGACTAGCATGAATGGGA